AAAAAAAAAAAAGAAGAAGAGGGAAAATTCATGTTCATTATATGGGAGAGGCGAAGGTAGTTCATAAATGGATGAATTACATAAATATCACACTGTTTCTGAATTGTCACAGTTTTAAAGAAATATTTCCTGGAGTTCTTTTAGGGGGAAAGGGCTTCTGACTCCAACCCTGTTCCTTCCTCTTTTCAGCCTTCAGCCTTGCTGCTGCCTTTATCCAGCAGTGCCTCTTGCCTCATTCCTCTCCAGTAGACTCTGTTCCCTCCTTCTGCTGGAATTCTGCTCTCATATGCTGGGCATGGCCTGTCCTGCCACTGGACACTTCTACACATCCTTGATTCCTCTGGATACCAAACTCTCTGTCCATCTGCTCTTGCCAYTCCAGCTTTTCTTGAGTTCCTACTTCTGCTACCTCCCATCTACACTTGAGTCGCCTGCTCCTGCCTCCTCACTGCTTTGCAGCTGTAACTGATTTAAGGCAAAATGAAAATAAAAGCATTTTGTCAAAAAAAATATTCTCTTTGACTCAAGAAACAACATTTGGTTTCTATTATAATTACATTTTTAACCCTGTTTGGCATAGTCCTAAACAAAAAGCATCAATACATATTTATAGTGTTCAACAAATACTACTGCTTTGTACCTTGCATTTCTTCCTCCAAAATATCCAAAACACCAAAATAATAATATATTTCATTGACTCAGAAATGTTTTTCTGGATTTTTTTTTTTTTTTTTTAATATCTAGCTTTAGGACCACAAGTAATTTAGATTGGTTTTAACTAAGTACTTTGGAGAAAAAACAGGCAGGAATAGCTCTTAAAATGTTAATAATCTGAGGCCAGTTAAACAGTAGTTTTAGGATCAATCTAGATCAAAATCAAAGAACAAAAGAATGGAACAAAACTTCTGAGTTTGAACACATCTATTTCCACAAATTTGATATAAAACCAAGAAAGAACTCTAAAACTTGCTGGCAGAACTTATAAGAATATGCTTTATCCTCTGTAAAGTACAAAACTACTCTTTATTCACTCTAAGTTGAAAAGGAAGTTTTTTTTTCTTACTTTCTGACGTGAAGACTTGGAAAACTTGTTCTGAGTAAGCTCTGGACTGTGTAGTGGAATTTTTTTCATTTGTGGTAATTGCATCGTTCTGCTACCGCTAGACCATGCACACACCCAGGAAAAGAGGAAGCTCTGGTCTTATCATCAGCTGAATCACAAAGAGGTTTGCTCCTCCTGCTTTCTTACTTCTTGCATTTTGGAAAGCAGCAAGAAAAAGAAGCACATTTATTCTTTTGAGTAGATCATTTCATGGTGGGTTTTTTTTTTTTTTGAGGTTTTTTGTTTTTGGGTTGTTTTTTTTTTCAGATGCTAATGCTTTTAAGTTTGACAGAAGTAACAGAACTTTGAAATCAAAACAAGTGGCTTGGTTTGCAAAAATGCAGAACACGTCTGAATTACTATTAACTTCAAAGTGATCCATGAATGCTCATCAGCTCTAAAAATTAGACCAATTATTTCAAGTTTCTACATATGAATACAGCTGATTCAACATTTCTTTTTTTAGCAGAAAGTTTCTATCGTAAACAGCTCAGTTCAGGTTAAATTAGGAGGTTTTTTTCAAGGGCATATGCTAATACCAATGGAGAGAGGATGTTTTACCCCTGAGAAAATTAGCAAATTCTTTTCATGTCAAAGGAACATTTCAGAACAAATATTTTAGTTATGTTTTGAATTATGTTATTTCATTTTGATGTWTCAGCACTTTTTTAAATGGAGGTTGAAATGCCTTTTAAAAATGCATTCTTAAAGACATGTTGCACATTTCCTAGATGAAACAGTGGAATATGTTGGAGAAGCAAACAAAAAGCAGGTCATGCTGTGCTTCTTAAAGACTTTCAGTAGAGAGAGATTCTGCAACACTAGAAAAATTGAAATATCTCAAAATAAAAATATTTAATGGATGTTCTTCTTTTCAGGTCACTTGCATAATGTCCATTTATATGTGTTCCCAGTTACGAGGAGATTGAATAATTTCCTGAACACAGAGTAAAATAAACAGAAAAATTTGTCTGGACATCAAAGGAGGTACTTAAAGAGATTTGGGTGAGCACATGACTGTGCAATGGAATATGTCCACAGATTAGTTTATATGAGCTGCTGATCCTTCCTGAGTATCAAAGATGGAAATTGCTGCATCACATGAACTTTTGCACGTGTGCAGTATGCTCCAGGGTAAAGCATCAWGCTGCCCTGAGCACATGCAGATATCACAGCTCATGTGCCTTGGTGGTCTGGTCCATCACAAACCTTTCTGAAATRGAGGAAGCATGATTATTGAACCTCAGCAACAGATGTAGAGAAACCTGGGAAAGCAGCAGTGCTGAAAACAGCCAAAAGAGACTGGTAGATGCTGAGAGCAAAGTTTGGTAGGCTGGAACCAAAACAAGTGACTGCTCAACTCCGTTTCCTTCTTCTGGTAAAAGTCTGGCAGGGAGCAAATAAATCTACATTCCTTCACCCAGAAAAACTCTTCTGATTTCCCCATTCTACACATCAGATGTGTCCAGGCTGATGCCAGGCAGACAGAGCAGGCAGACYCCTCCTAGGCCATGCTGTGTCCTTGACTCTCTCTGCCTTCAGTGAGAAGAAAGGAGAATCTCYAAAGAGCAGCTCAAGACTCTCATGGCCTGAAATGTCTGCTACAGCAGAGCTGTGTGATCCTAATGCCATGGACCACTAGGTACTGCTGTGACCCAAAAACACAGCCTGGAGAAGAACAGAGGCAATAATGAATTAAACATAATGAATGGTAATATAACTGATGATAACAGTTATGAACAGCAAGTACTTGATAACTTACCATGGTGAATAAATACTGGTTCACTCCATTCACTCCACATCTTGTTTGCTATGCAAATCTCTTTCTTTGCCCTCACTTGTGCTGCACATTTTTTTGCTGGCTTATGAAATGGAAAGTTATAGTTCTCTGCAGTRACATTTACAATCTACCAAGAGAAGTTTAGGGGATTATTTGGAATGATTTTGCATTGCAGTTCAARCAGATATAAATTAGGTATGTCAAATACTATTATTTACATCTCTARCTAGTAGGAAGAAATTTTCAGAACAAGTTCTTATGCCCAGACACAATTTCACTATTATCTGATGTGTGTTAAAACTCAGAACTGAACATGGAGACTGAAACTAATAAGATGGAAGGAGGTATCATTTATGGTAGGACAGTAGGAATTGAAAACACCAATTCCCCTTCCATTTTTCATCGCATCACGTACAGGATGAAGACAGTAACTGTGGAACTGCAAGTTTCAAGATTTTGGTGTGGGTAGTGTGCAAAACTTGCTTCTCTGGTAAAATAAAATATTTCATTTTTCAGCTGAAGGATGTGCACTATTTTTGTGACTACCCTGAAAGATCTTTACTTGTGCCTATGAAAGAAAGCAAATAACTTCAAAAGATCAAACCCAAACATGGATGGTGGAGTTTAAGCAGAGAGATCCTAAATTATCCAACACTTTTTAAAACTGAAGCAAATTTTTRTAAATAAATAATGTTAAGAATTTTAGAAGGGATTTGAAAAGAGAAAGAGGGAGAGAAAACTATTGCTTGTAACAATTAAAAGTGATATTAGAGGGTTGCAAAGAAGTAGAAAGTATGACTCTCATACACAGAGAGACATGGAATCTTTGCTTCTTTGCCATTAGGAAAGCATGATCTGTTCTCCTCATATGGATTGGTGTGATGTGGGTTTGACCCCATGTACCATACGACTTCTTTCTCTTCCCTTCACGACCTTTCCAGTTCTGGTGTCTATCAATATTTTTGGGTGCACAAAGCACAATATGAAACTTCAGGTGAAACTCAGCATCTAGACAGTCCAAATATCACAGCCTACATCTTACATGTGRCATGCTGGTCATATACACTTGAGTAATATTTGACCTTTGCCTAAGAACGCAGAGAGATTGACTCAGTTTGTGGTCCAGTGTAATCCACAGAATTTTCTCTTCTGTGTTGCCGCCTATRTCTTAATTCCTTATTTTGTGTTGACACATTTGACCTGTATTTCCTAAAAATAATAATAAGGACTTCCCTTATTACTCAGTTTTGCCTTGTTGATTACAGACTTAAYCAACATTTCAGATTCCAATCTTGTTTCCCACAGTACTTGTCAACCCTTCTTRTCTTTCAGACAATACTTCTTTTTCTATAGCAAAAAAAGCCAATACAGTCTACATGATAYTGATGTGCAATTCAAATTTAATATAGAAGAAAGTTGCATCCTATTAATTCACTTCAATGCAAGCCTGACACTGAAAGATTCCATAAMATGTATTGATTTTTCATTTTTTACTAGAAAGAAAACTTGGATTATTCATTAAAGACAATGAGATTCTTTTTAAGTTTGCTTGAGATTAAGTTCTGTTAAATCTCAGGGATGCCTTGTTTTTATGGAAGCTATGTTATACACACTGGGTGTATTACCAAAAAACTGATTACCTTATGATCTGTTATTCTCACTTGATACAAAAAACACTTCTTACTTGCTGACCCAATAGTAGGTGGTGGTTTCCAGTGAATTGTAATACTTTTTTTTTGAAGGGAAACTGAGATGTTGGTTGGTGAGTTCAGCTTTTCTGAAAAATAAAAAGCACAGAGTGATCTTCTCTACCTCATGCTCTTTCTCACATTTATGCTGGCATAAAACAAATGGAAGTTCATTAGTTCTTAAAGTACACAGTTGAGTATTTTGGAGTTTGCCACASCCAAAGAGGCATTCAGTGAGTCTGGCACTTTTTTTTTTTTTTAAGTTGCTGCTCACTGAGTGTCTCAAAATCAAGAGACAGAGTTATGGGGTTTCACATATCTTTACAGGAAAGGCATCAAGAGTGGGCAGGAGGCGCCCACTCAGGCCCTCTCCAGAGTCTGTGCTGGTGTTGAGGAGACCTCGATTTTCAGAAATTGTAGATTAATTTGGTTTGGAAGGGAGCTGGGTTGGACTGGAAGATCATCTAGTTCCAATTCTCCTGCCATGGGCAGGGCGACCTCCTGCTAGACCAGGTTGGTTAAAGCCCCATCCAGACTGTCCTGGAACACTTCCAGGATGGGGTGTCCACAACTTCTCTGCACAACCTGCTGYCCAGAGAACCTGTGTGATTCAATACGTGAAGATTTCTGCAGATGCTTAAGGAATATCTTTCTTTCTTCTGTAAATGAGCAGGCAAGCACTTGCTACAGAGGAGGTGCAGGATTGGATGCAAGGGACATTTGAGTCCCCAGAATTTTAGCCTTGGGTTTATATAAGAAAGTCAACAATTGTTTTGTTAGGGCACTGACCCTAACAAAACACCCTAACAGTGTGTGCTGCAGCACTCAAGCATCCTCAGTCCTTCCCAGCTGCTGCTGCATTGCTGTGAAAGGAAGAACCACAGCTGGAGTTTCCTGGGAAAGCCCTCCCAGCAGAGGCAGAAGAGAGTGGCAAATTTCTGTAGAGAGGATCAGCAAGGTCTGGGGATGGCACAGTGGTGACTTGGTGCCAGTGGGAAAAACCAAAGAGGCAGAGAGTCAGTGGCAGCACGAAAGGGCCGTGCTGTGCTTGTTCCGGCAGCTTTTGAAGGTGAGGACACACCATGAGCCATGACGGGTCATCAGCCATGAGAAGAGAATGCAGCAGCTTGTTGTTTTAGTTTAGTTTCTGAAATACGCTTCCCAGATCATGTCTCTCTTCTGCAAGGATATCAAGAAAAGGCAGCAATTTCTTTTCARCCTTTTGTCATGTGTCAGCTTATAGCTGGCTCTGATTGAAGTGTAAAGCTTTAGGTGAAGCAAACAAGTCTAATGTCTTCAAAAAGATTAARTGAGATCTAACTCAGAATAAATTTTTATGATTTTGTATTATATTTTTGCAATCCCTTGAGCAAAGCTGATTCCCAGGTTACAGGTCTGGAATATGATCAATGTGTTAATGACTTAAAAGGCATTTGAATCTGCAGTCTGAGCTRAAATTCAGGTGAATTTCTTACCCAKGAGATTAATTCGAACTTCCCAAAGAAGTAAGGAAAAGTAATTTTATATGATCATTCAAAACTGTTGATAATTAAAAATAACTGCCAAGATATTTTTAACTTAAAAAATAAATAGAAATGTTACTAATGTTTGAGAACTTTAATATTCTTAAATTCAGGTTATAAATGAGACTTGTGACTATTTACGCTCTTTTCCTCAATCACGCTTGCTCAGCACTATAAAAAAGGATAGAAAAGACAAAGAAATGGAGAAAAGAAGGGTATAATGCTTTTAAATATAATTTTCTCACATTGGTTTATCTTTTTTTAATTAAAATTATAAATAAACAATGTTATTAAATCAGAGGAAAAAAAAATAAAAACTTTGGGCAATAATAAGTTTTGTTTAATCTTTGTGTAACATTTCCACAGAGTTGAATGCATAAATAGATAGAATTAATATTATGATCTTGTCAGTACTATTTGTTTTGTTTTCCATGAAACAACTAATAAATTAACCTAATAGACAATACTAGACAATTCTTACCTATTGCCTGAGGTGTGAAGGCTTTGTAATAAGACAGTCCTATTGAACTGTTTCTCAAATCTCTTACAGTTATATTTAAATTGATTTTCCTTGATGGTTGGAAATATRCTTCTTTCATATAGCAGCCAATATTTTTCTTCCTTGCATTTTTTATATATTGCTGGCATGCAAAAACTTCTCCTGCATGTCTGTGAAAAGGAAACAAAAGTTTTTTAAATGGAAGACTTAGGTCCAAAGTCATGGTTTCATACTTATTTTGCAGAACATCCTTACCTGTATGAGGCAGAGATCTGGATATCTTCAGGAGCTTCTGCTTTGATATGCCAGGTGCAATTGAAAAAAGAAATGTTATATATGATGCACGAAAGATTCTGAATGTAGACTGCAAAAAAGAAATGGTAAAGAGTCATGCTTATTTTACACTGATTTCCTAATAACAACATGATAACTGCCTTTACAAATCCATTMTATAACCTCATTTCTAGAAGCAAGAGAAAGTGCCATCTGAAAATAAACAGTCATCCTTTTCTTTTAGATAGTGAAAACTGGGAAGATGTCTGCTACTACCACCAAACTTAAAAACAAATTAAAAGCTCAGCTCTTTTAAGATTTGCTGAAATCAGAAAGGCCATCTACATGAGACATAGGTTGCTAAGGAAAATTGAAAGAGTGGCTGGGTCATACCGACATCTTGCCCAGCAGAGCCGGAGGTTTCTGAATCTGAACACATCTAGTAAAAAAAGTAATTCTGCAATATCTCAAGGTATTATGAACCATATTCTTAACATATCTGTACAGGAAAAAAAAAAAAGTAGCAAAAGATAATAATGAGATTTCAGAAATTCCCCCAGTAAGAAATGACATTACCATAAATGCTTGGATACCTTAATAACAAGTAGGAAATAGCTGACCTGGAGGTGCCTTGTAAGTAAGTTCTGTCCAGTCACTCTCCTTAATTATGTCTTCTGTTTCTTTTGCAAAAATTTGTGTCTTAACTTTAGCATTAAAACCAGGGTGCAATTTAAGATGTATTATCTTTTCCTTCTCCTGCAGTCTTTCCTAAGAGAATGAAGAAGAAATTCCATGAAGGTAGACAGCTCAAAAGTATTGAAAGGGAAATTATGCAAATTCATCTACTGAATGATCCAATATATTATTTCACTTTAAACTACATGTAACCTCTGAGGAACTTACTTTTCTTTCCTTAGTTGTATTGAAGAATTTATAAATCAAAATATACTTCACAGTGTATTTCTTTGTTTCTTCTTTTGTCAGGTTATTGTTCCACGACAAAATGACTCTTGAATCATTCTTGGTGACCCACAGAACATTATGGAGCCTAAGTGCATCTGCAATTACAACGATATTACACAGAGAAAGAGATGATCCTGCACGGTGTTCACGAAGGATTTTTCTCTCAGCAAGGCTTGCATGCCCAATAGCTCTACCAGGACCTCTGTTCTCATATGGARCAGGAATTTCTAAGCTTTGCTGACTGTTACTTTCAGCAATGAGAATCACGCTCTTCTCTGCAGCTCTCAAAATTTCTTGATTCTCTTTTGCCTGTCTTGGACACCTCTCCTAGTGTAGAAGACATGCTATATAAAGTATAAAGTATAAAATAGAAATATAAAGTATAAAATATAAATATAAAGTATAAAATATAAAATAATATAAAATAGGAGCAATCACAAACAGTCCTGGGAACATATAAGCCCTTTATTTAAAGTACTCTCTTGCTCTCTGTGGGCAGTAGAAAGCGGCTTGACAAGTTCAGATTGGACATCTGGGATGGTTAGTTTAGGATAAGCAGTTATTTAATACTTTACTCACCCTTTACTTCTTGTTGTCCGCTTGCCAGGATTGCAGAAAACAGTGTCTCATGCTGGAAAAAGCTTAACATCAGCAGGATGGGAATGACTGTGACTCGTGCCATAGCAAATGCTTTGGGCCACAGTCTGAAGAAACTGAGACTCCTTAGTTCCAAGTTTGTTAGAAAAAGCTGTTAGAAGGTGATGTTTTTATTTTGCATCTGTGAAATATTAGGAAAAGGTGACCTAGATGCTTAAAAGGTATCTAAAGTACAAAATGTAAACATGAAATGACATATGCTTAAGAGATCTTGTTTGGTTGGTGCCTGCTGTTCCCAGGATGTTCGTGTCCAAGTCCACTCTTTAACTGGGGAGAGGATACGTGCCAGAGTGCACAGGTTTTGAGTGAGAGCACAGCTCAGATTTCAAGCCAAGACCACGATACTGTTTACGTAGGGCCCACCTGAMATAACCATGACTAGACACAAGACCAGGAGCTCTATTATCTCTTGAGACTGTAGAGAACTGTCATTTCTAGACTGAGATTTGTGTTAACTGGTTTAGGAAAACTGTAAGAAGAGATGAATCCTGCCATTTGAAAAGGTGAGTACCAGCAAGAGGATTTCAGTGTTTGCTAAATTTGGAATAGAGCAAGCAAACAGATTTAGACTGACCAAAGTTTAGTAAGAAAACACTGCTGTTTCTCTGAAGGGTGAATATTCATTCAAAGGTTGCTTTCATGTCAAACAATGTTTGAGACYTTCTGAGTTCATATGCCTTCCTGTTCAGAGACTTTCTCTCAGTAACTGATTTATCCTGGCTATGATTGCTTTCAGTTTTAAATTCTCAGACATATTGGACCCAGGGATCAGCACTGGAGCCACATTAAAATGTTCACAATGCATTGGCTAACAAGTGGCACTGGCCATGCAGAGGAAAATGTGTGAATGCTCAGCRCACCAAAAAAATCTACAATGAGGTTTCCTGGAAAAAAATAAATATGCATACACTTAAAAATATGTACATATATAGATTAATTAATAATGTTATTTTGTCAAAATGCAGTGAAAAAGAGATTACTCATTGAATGCTCTCATTGTTTATGAAGTGCTGTGAAAAAAAAAATCGTAATAAAAAGCTCTGAGACAGAGGTTTCACCATCTGGTTCATTCTGATCTCAGCTGAGGCACCAGCAGCAGCCATCGTATGCATATCACACCATGCAGGTGGCCAGCAAAAAGAGCAAATTCTCCTGCTTCATGTGCCCAGTAAGAAGCTAATTCTAACTGTCTGGAGAGGGAAGGAGTGAGCTGTACCATTTTTGGAACAGTATGGTGTGTGGCGAGAGAAAAGTCCGGGAAAATATAAAATAAAAACAAGGAGTTTTGATGGTTGRCTATTCCACATGTAGTGGCTCATCCCTCTCCATGGAATGGGACAATCAAAAACAGTCCTAGGAACATGTAAGTACTTTATTTAAATWAGGAGAAAGGGAAAAATAAGGATGGAAAACACCACGTCAGTTATAATATTTGTGGCTAATATTAACCTGACCTTTTTCGAAAACACAAGTCGAAAGGGGATGTGAATCAGGAAAAGGAACAAAATAAATCTTAGAGTGGCAGCAACGTCTGGTGTAAGAAACAAAAATGGACATAATCTATGGGGGAATATAAATGCATTTAACTGGAGAGAGGACACACAGGGGCCAACAAGGAAGATTTTTAAAGTAAGTCTGAATAAACTTAGAAAAAAGTTAACTAACCTGAGTCAGAGAAAGACATTTCAGGTAAGACTGGTGCTGTTTCCCTGAGGTGAGTTGCTCTTAGGAGAACCTTTTGTACGGGACTGAGAGTCACTTCTCTCTGTGCAATGAACCCTTGCACCTTCTCCCGCTGGTGCTGTGACAGTGGACAGCGTGAGAGGGCTGCAAAGGGCAACAGGCACATGCAAGGTACATGGAAAGCTGCTAAAAAGTATTAGGGATGGATGCCCAAGCTCACATCCCCAATTCAGCAGCTGTAGGTATTGGGGCAGTACTTAGAGAATGGGCTGCAGGAGGAGGCCAGACCTGTGGATTGTTTCTGGGTAACATCTCCTGTTATCACTGCTGCAGGCAGAACAGCAGAAGGACAGCTGGGCTGATCCCAAAGGGTATTTCTTATGTTTATATACAATTAGTTAGTCCACAGAAAACACTAAAGTGAAAGCACTGCAGTATAATTACACCCAAAGTGACCGGGGGGGGACAAAAAGCTGTCCATACATAAAAAGCTTTTGGTTCACAACTTGTCAAAGAATCTGTATTCTCATTTATGCCAGCATAGATGAACTGRAAGACAGAACATTTCTTCTCAGACATATGCAGACAGGACTTTCAGGGTCCCCACCCTCTAATACAAAGAGCTCTGAGTTAGCATATGGTGCTGAAACTCAGTCAATGATGGGCAAAATGAAATTCATTGCCTGACGATTTTTTTCTAATAAGACTCTCTGATTTTTTCACCTCTGGAAAAATGCACATTAGCTAAATATACTTGCTCACATTAATCTCATGGGATAGAAATTACCTCAACAAGCTAAATAATCTAAAAAAGAATCATAAAGAAGAAAAAAGAAAGAAAAACAAAAAACACAAACCAAAATACTTTCCAAGCTGTGTCCCGTGAAAAATATATTGGTTTGTTGGGTTTTTAAAAAATATTCTTCAAAGGTGTTATACATATTTTRCCTTTTCCTTTTTWAAAAATATTCATTTATCCCCTTYCTTTAATTTCTGAGCTTCAACTAYAGCCAATACCTGTTGCTTGCTGCCCAGCAACGTCTGTTTTGCAGTAATGGGCTGTTAGAGTAAAAGAAAAGGGAACTGAGGAGAGCAACCAGCCCATCCACAGCTACAGCTGCAAAGACTGTAACTGCACAAAACCCACCTGGTGAATTTGGGAAGTAGACAGTCAGGCAAGAACAACGAAAACAGCTAAAAGAAGTTTTACAAAATGTCAGTGCTGTTACTTTAAGTGGCAGGAAAATAAACTCTTTAGATTTAAATCTGCACTGTCCATGTATCTGAATAAAGATATTTTTAAAAAGCTTCTGGGGCTGATAATTATATACTCCTAAATGCAAAATTTAATTTTTTTAAGAAATAGTTTTTATATACATATATTTCCTTTAAAAAAAAATAAAATAAAAAGACAATGTAAAGTGGTCTTGCAAATTTTATTGTGTTTAATTTGGAAAATAAATTCAGCCATTAACAATGAGGTCTTTTATTCATTGTTCTAATGCAGTCTTGGACAAAGGAAATCARTGGGACTGTTTGTCTGACTAAGGCTACCTAAAACTTACACTTCATTTAAAATTGTCAAGTCATACTTTTCAACGCTCCCCATCCCCCRTCCTATACTTGATAGTAAACAATGTAGAGATTGATCAATGAATGATGAAATAAACAGCATAGATCAAAGAAATTTTAAATCTCTTTGTAATGGAAAAGTCAAAAGAGCAGTACCATTTGTTTATTTTTTTTAACTTACCTTAATTTTAATGCTTGTCAAACCCTGGGTACCTATGCATCGTTTGGGCTGAGGAGCAGGACAGACCAGCACTGGAGAATGTCTTGRTTTAGACTTCCCTTTTCACAAGGCACTCCCCCAGGAAAGCCCACGGCCAGGACCACTTCCCACTGAGGTCAGAAGCTCACCTTTGAATGAGCAAACACCGGCTGGAACTTTATCCAAGTTTTGAAATACTTCTAAGGAGACACATCTCTGCATGACTRACTCAGAAKTCTGAGYTGCTACTATTTTTTACCTTTTTGTWCATGGAAAAGTTTCAAAACATTTACATATTATAATAAGTAGCTTTTATATTTTAAGAAGAAGCCAGATTAAAGGAGAAATTAAATCACAGTTSAAGTGTGACTATGAAATCAGGATCCCAGGAAGATCCTACCCTACTTGTTGTTCCGTTGTTCTCCTGGTTCATAGTGGCTAATATGAATGTTCCAGTGCACACTAAATTAAAAACCAAGTCACAGAACAAATGAGCAAAAAGAAGAAATAAATCTTGCATTTTGAACAGGTAGGACTGCCTGTTTAACTCTTCATATCTGAAGTTTTGCCCAGCCTAATCTCTGAAATTGTCATTTTAACTGGTTTCGTTTCGTGCAAATTAACTTCATTTGCAGATATCATATATGCAGTTGTAAGCCATACTGACAACTACTGAAAGTCATTCTGGGGGAATTAGGCTGACAACAACTGGGTTTGAAATCAACCMCTTTATTCATACACACTGATATTTTGCATTTTAGCTTTCCACCTTAAGTTGAATTTGGAGGTGTAATAATGGATAATTTTGGGTTTTGTTATTTTTTTTTTTTTTCTGGCAATATGGTTTGGAACAGATATGCCTCTATGTTCAAACTAAAAAGTTTATTCACTAAGAATCTGACCCCAGGTTTTGGTGCAAAAAAMCAATCTAAGGTGTCAAGAATGTATTATTTATTGTCTTCTCAAAAATTGCCAAATTCGGACAAAATATGTCACAACCTCTGCTATAAAGGACTGAAGAGAACAAGGAAATTAGTTTTTRTCCTTTGCTTGTTGATGTGGTCCTTTCCAGAGCATGGAAAATGACTCTTCTTTGCTTTTCGCCATCTTTAGATACAGGACACACAGCAGAAAAAATGCTGGAAAAGGAATGATCCTATAAAATCCCCTTGCTTTGATGGCTTAYTCAGTGAAGAAGTAGAGACCTAAAGATCTCCCTCATCCCAGGCAGAGGCTGCTATTGTTATGCATGAAATAGMTCTATTCTCTCAGTAAGTATGTCAAAAACACATGTTTTTAAAAAATCATAAACAACTGAACAAATGAACAAACAAAAAACCCAGCTATAGAAACATCACAGAGGAGATCAATTGAATGTTTCATCTAATTAATAGTAAATCCTTAAAAACTGCTGCATTGTATTTTGGATGCTTTCTTTCAGTAAAATATTTTGGCAGTGATTATTCTGACTGATTTATACTTAGATCTCCSTAATACATAGACTCAATAAACTAATCTTGATTTTAAATTAGCAAATAAAATATTTAGCTCCAAGTGTTTTCTGAGGTTTAATTATTCAGATAAGGCTAAACAAACAGCCTTTATCTCAAATGCTTGAATCCATTGCTTCCTTGTTCTGGTGTTAATCAGATCTGACCTTACAGTGGGGATGTACAAAACCCACAATTTTCTAAGTAACTAAGATAAAGGAAGGTAAATACTTCTGGAGAGATTTGAC